TGCAAATCCCGCTGGTTTTCAAAACGTGCGGCTCGTCATGAAAATTAATTCAACTCACTTTAAGATTTATTCGCATGAGATGTCATTTCAAATCCTCCATTACGGCCTAAACTATAGATTGCAAGTCCTCGCATTTTGAACCAGTCTTCGGTTTCGCCTCGAACTAAATCAAATTGCGCGGATTTGAAATCTAGTCCAGTCCTCATAGGCGGATTTGAAATATATTACACTTCATTTAAACCGAAAATTCAATATAGCCTACTCATGCGAGCAAGTTCATAATTAAGATAAAAATAGCTGAATTTTCACACATATACCTTTACGGTCACAATGCAGCCAGCCCCATTGAAATTTCTCCCTTGGTCGAATAATTTCTAATTCCAGCATCAGCTTATCAAAGCAAATGAAATAATCGTCATCAAGGCGAAGAAAGTATTGAAAGTCGTATCTTTCCTTCGCCCATTGCAGCATCCAAAGATATTTTACGGCAAAATTAACCCCACCGGGAACTTCAGTTAGTAGAAGATCTTCATGAACACGTCTCTCGTTTTCAAGTTTAATTCTCTTCTCTCCTTGCAACGCTTGTCCATTTGGCTCTTGTCCGTCGGTGAAGAAACGACAAACGGCATTAGGATTCGATTGACATTCTTTCATCCATGTTTCACGCATGGCATTTCTCCGATCAAGACGTGACGGAGCGCTGTGTATGCCAGCAAATAATAACAGTTCTATTTTTCCCGACGACGATATCCTTGGCTTTAAATGTTTCCGCGTAGCACTATGTCTTTTTAAATACATATATATTTCCGTTTCAGTCGGCGTATGGTAGCTATAGATTACAAAAATTGAGAACATAAACGGTATTGACATTAAGGCGACGAATTCTTTAACAGTTTTCCTTGAACGAAACATTTTGTGGAACAGGCAAGTTTTGGCAGCGCTTATCCTGAATACACGCTAAACTCAAGCAGATCTTTATCTTCTTTCAAGCCACACAAATTATTAGCTGTTAATATACAGTACAGCTGCGCAATTACGTTAAATAAACAGATGGCTTTGCAATGACTTTCACGTGCTAATGATCATGAGCGTCTTCTCCTGAAAGCATTAAATAAGAAAAATATAACAGATATACACTTATACTGTATGGTCATGCATTGAATTGTTGGAGAGTTTCAGATTTAGGACGCGGCAAATCCGAACGACGCACCTTCAAAACAAATAAATATTTCTTCATGCAAAACAAAAAGTATGAATAATTTGTGGTCCCATGTAGGAGAATCCTCAGCAGCTAGGGCTGTCGTTCTGGGGCCGATTGTTCAAAGCTGGGTTAGCTTATTAACCCTAGGTTAACTTAAAATTCAAAGTAACTTCCTGACAGCTTGTCCATAAATTTTGGAAATATTTCTTCAGAGATCTTGTCTGGATCGATCATATAGAAGTTTACTTCTCTGAAGTTTTGAAATAAACAGATGTGCAGAAACACATGCACAAACTAAAACAACAGGTTAAATTTTAACCCAGGGTTAGCGCTAACCCACCTTTGAACAACAATATATATAGAGTCACGATCTTTCTCAACGGTCAATTTATAATAGTTTATACCTGTAATCCACAAACAAATCATAATATCATATTCACCTGAGTACACTACACCAACACAGAAAAAACTTAAATCATAAGTATTCTCTATAGTTATAATCACTCCGCGTATATTTTCGGTTCTAAAATACTGTATTTCGGCTGATGAAAAAGATCGTGATTCAATCTTTATACGACTGTTATGCAGGCACGTAGCTGAGGGGGGGCCTGGGGGGGCATTGCCCCCCTACTCGGTGGGGCAGTGCCCCCCAGTGCCCCCCCACTCCGAAATTTGGTATGAAAAATTGAGATAAAGGACCTGGAAACCAATTGTAATCATGGGACAAATTCTGCAAATTTTGTGGTTAATTTTGTGATGTTTCGAAAAATTTTGTTAGGTTACGTAAAAATTTGGTCTGTCCGGAAAAAATTTGTATGTCCCGAAAAAATTTTTGACCCTTAAAATGGTACACTGACCGAAATTTTTTTGGCGACAGGGGGGGGGTCGGTGGGGGGAGAGGTCGCCAAAATAAATTCCGGGAAAAAATTTTTCTCATTTCAAACCCTCAGTTACATTCTTTCTGCAGTGCCCCCCAGAAATTGAGAGCCAGCTACGGGCTTGCTGTTATGACCATATATAGAAACTAGGCTTAAGCCTTGGATCCATGTGATTGTAACTGTCATGACACTGTCGTCCACTGTCGCAAGTTAATTTCGCATATACACAGGGATCGTACAACCAGCTGCATGGCGACAGTTTTTAAAAGACCAACTGTTGCAACGCTGTGGTTTTTCTGTTTCCATTAAAAAATAACCGTCACGAGACGATTTTAGCCTGTCGCAACTGTCGTCGAGATAGATCGAACTCGAGCCTATCTCGACGACACTGTCAGTGAACTGTTGCCAGTGTGTTTGCGACAAGACTTTTCTTCATGTTTCGATTTGGTCGCCAACACTAATACTCTGAAGACAATTACAATACGTTCGCGACAGTTAAGGTCCATTTCCACTCAGGAAAATTTTCCGCAGAAAGAAAATTTT